ATAGTAGCTACCCCATAAATATTTGCTTAATGATGAAAGAACTTACTATCTTTGTCTGCCAGACTTGATTTTATGGGTGGGACAATTTCTATTTTTGTGTTACAGATACAATTTTTATTTTAATAAATATATGTGAAAATTGTTCTTCTTGTTAGGTGCTGAGTTGATTCCAACTCATAGCGACCCTGTGAACAACAGAATGAAACACTGCCCCATCCTGCACCATCCTCACGATCGTTATGCTTGAGCCCATTGTTGCAGTCACTGTGTCAATCCATCTTGTTGCGGGTCTTCCTCTTTTTTGCTGGTCCTCTACTTTACCAAGCATGATGTCCTTCTACGGGGACTGATCCCTGTGAAAATTAGTAATTCAATATTTAACCCTAGATTCTAAAATTCAGTGATACAATTTTTGTCTGGTCAAAATTTTTTTTTCCCTAAAGAAATATGCTCAACTATCTTTCTGGAGGATTAAGGGTGGTATTGTGGTGAGAACACGATACTTGAAATCAAAAGCTTTAGGATTAAGCTCCCCAGTTGCTATTTAGTAACTCTGTGTAGACAAGCTGTTATGATTTCAGTTTCATGTATAATAGGCATAATATGACTTCTCAGTGGTGAGAATCAGGTAAACTAATGCATGTAAAGTTCTTTTTAAATTATAAAAGTGTTGTGTAATGTGTGAAAAGGAATTCATTATTTTAAATGCTTTGCTCTCCAAGATTTATTTGTGCATTAAATTTACTCTTCCTTCTGTAATACTTTGATCTTAGTTTTTCTAATGATGCCACTATATGTTCTATAATTCTTTTTTTTCCAACCATGGCAAATAATTTATGTATCATTCTTTTCTGCTTTCTAAAAGTTTATTCATTAGCACTATTGCCATTCACTGTTTCAAATTTAAACTAACTGTCCCAAATTATTTATAACTTTCCATCAATGCTATTCTTAAACGGAATACAATAGAGTTGAGCCTTAGTTAATAGACACATGATTACCTAAAATTCTAATTATAAAACATTTCACTATATCCTTTGGATTGCACATTTCATGAGACAAATTTTTATTTTTTAAAACAATTTTCCCCCATTTCCTTTTGTCTTCCCTTAAGTAATTCAAATTTAGTTTCACTCTTTCAGTAGATTCAGGAGTCATATAAAGATACATTTCCTCTAGTAAAGAAAGCAGGAGAGTTGAAGCCATTATATAGGCAGCTAAGGTGAAAAATTTCTTCATATAAATCTGGTTATTTAAATATCAGCTAAAAGACTGGTCCTGAATTACTTGGATAATTATCTCAACTTTCCACTTCATTCAATTAGATCTGACTAGGGATTGATTTGTACAACAGGGTCCAAGTCATCTTTTTTCTTTTTGCTTAATTTAGCATCTTTTCATATGTTTCCAGTTTTAGATTACCCTAAAGCTCAAGCTTTCATTAGTAGAAATAAAAATTAACTGGAGAGAGATGAAGGGCATAATAGAATTCATACCAGGTAGTGATCATTACCACCACCCCTCTGCCAGTTTATTGTACTGTAGTGGCTTACATATTACTATGATTCTGGAAGCTATGCTACCAGCATTTCAAATACCAGCAGGGTCACCCTGGCAGACTGAAAGTGGAGCTTCCAGACTTAAGACAGACCAGAAGGAAAGGCCTGGTGATATATTTCTGAAAATTAGCCAGTGAAAACCCTGTGGATCACACCAGAATATTGCCCCATTCACTTGCTTTGGACACATCATCAGAAGGCACTCTCCGTGAGATGGATTGGCACAGTAGCTGCAAACGGTAGACTCAAACATGCTAACGATGATGCAGTACCAGGCAACATTTTGTTCTTTTGTATGTAAGATTGCCATGAGTTGAGTCTACTAAACGGCAGCTAACAACAAGTGATCATAATTGATCATCAAAAGGAGCATGAAAGGGCAGCCACAATTCTAGCACTACATGTTGACATGTGAAAGCCTAACTTGTCTGAGAGAGACTTGACCATATTTAGCCTTTATTTTTCTTATATTTTAGTCTTGTTTTATGTGTCTGATCTTCCTCATACAGAGATGAGAGAGATCGTAGGCTTCACTGGTTTAGAGAACATTTACCTGTTGCTGTCGAGTCGATTCCAACTCATAGTGACCCTATAGGACAGGGTAGAACTGCCCCATAGGGTTTCCAAGACTGTAAATCTTTATGGAAGCAGACTGCCACATCTTTCTCCCCTGGAGCAGCTAGTGGGTTCAAACCACCGACCTTTTGGTTAGCAGCTGAGCACTTAACGACTGTGCCACCAGGGATCCTTCACTAAGCTAAACCACTACAAAGACCATCAGATCTTGAAGAGGTCTTCTTCAGAGTGGCACTAGGGCTCCTAGAGAACATCTAATTGCTTTAAGTCAATACAGTGTCTTCCTGGGTAGTTGGTCAATAAATGTTTATTGAATGGATATGTGTAAGTTCCCATATCTAGAAAATTATATTTGTAGATGTGATTATGGGGATGATATTGATACATTTTTGAGAATTGCCTTTCAAAAGACCAGACTAAATGAATACCTGCAGAAATTCCACAGAAGTAAAGAAGTATTTCAAAGTTGTAATTTTAAAAAAAGAAAAGTATAAGAAAAAGGTGCCTGGCACTTAAAAGCTTTTAAAAAAAATATCTGTTCACAAATGAAGGAATGAAAAAAACCTAAAGCTTGGGGGGCATTTGAGATAATCAAGTTGTTGTTGTTCTTAGGTTCTCTTGAGTCGGTTCAACTCATAGCAACCCTATGCACAACAGAACAAAACTCTGCCTGGTCCTACGCCATCCTGACAATCGTTGTTGTGCTTGAGCCTGTTGTTGCAGCCTCTGTGTCAGTCCATCTTGTTGAAGGTCTTCTTCTGTTTCACTGACCCTCTACTTTGCCAAGCATGATGTCCTTCTACAGAGACTGATCCCTCCTGACAACATATCCAAAGTAGGTGAGAGGTAGTCTCACAGTCCTTGCTTCTAAGGAGCATTCTGGTTGTACTTCTTACAAGACAAAGATTTGTTCATTCTTTTGGCAATCCATGGTATATTCAATATTCTTTGCCAACACCATAATTCAAAGGCATCAATTCTTCTTTGGTCTTCCTTATTCATTGTCCAACTTTTGCATGCATATGAGGTAATTAAAAACACTATGGTTGGGTCAGACACACCTTAGTCTTCAAGGTGACATCTTTGCTTTTCAACACTTTCAAGAGATCTTTTGCAGCACATTTGCCCAATGCAGTGCATCTTTTGATTTCTTGACTGCTGTTTCCATGGGTGTTGATTGTGAATCCAAGTAAAATGAAATCCTTAACAACTTCAGTCTTTTCTCCATTTATCACGATGTTGCTTATTTGTTCAGTTGTGAGGATTTTTGTTTTCTTTATGTTGAGGTGTAATCCATACTGAAGGCTGTGGTCTTTCATCTTCATCAGTAAGTGGTTCAAGTCCTCTTCACTTTCAGCAAGCAAGATTGTGTCATCTGCATAACCCAGGTTGTTAATAAGTCTTCCTCCAATTCTGATGCCCCATTCTTCTTCATACAGTCCACCTTCTCAGATTATTTGCTCAGCATACCGATTGAATAGGTGTGGTGAAAAGATACAACCCTGACGCACACTTTTCCTGGCTTTAAACCATGCAGGATCCCCTTGTTCTGTTCGAATGACTGCCTCTTTCTCTATGCACAAGTTCCTCATGAGCACAATTAAGTGTTCTGGAATTCCTGTTCTTCGCAATGTTATCCATAATTTGTTATGATCCACACGGTCAAATGCCTTTGTGTAGTCAATAAAACATAGGTAAACATCTTTCCGGTGTTCTCTGCTTTCAGCCAGGATCCATCTGACATTAGCAATGATACGCCTAATATATATATATGTATATACACACATATATATATGCATATGTGTGTTTGTGTATTTACCAAAAAACCCGTTGCTGTCGAGTCGATTCCAACTCATAGTGACCCTGTAGCCCCATAGCGCTTCCAAGGAGCAGCTGGTGGATTTGAACCACCGGTGACCTTTTGGTTAGCAGCTGAGCTCACAACTACCAGGGATCCATATGTATGTGTGTGTGTGTGTATGTGTATATATATATATGTATATATATATATACACACACATACTGAGGGAGGTATAATATAGTTATGATATTGTTGATTACTTACATGTAATAGGTAGTTTTAGGTTAAAAAGTGAGGTGGGGGGAACCTCATACCATCAAGAAAGCGGTGCTGGGAGCAGAGCGCGTCCTTTGGACTGGGGTCCCTGTGCCGAGAAGCTCCTAGTCCGAGGGAACACTGATGAGAAGGCCGACAGAAAAAGCCTTCCCCTGGAGCTGACACCCTGAATTTGGAGTTTTAGCCTACTTTGATTGTGAGGAAATAAACTCTACGTTAAAACCATCCACTTGTGGTATTTCTGTTATGGCAGTGCTAGATGACCAAGACAGAATTTGGTACCGAGAGAGTGGGGTGCTGCTCTAACAGATACCTAATATGTGGAAGCGGTTTTAAAACTGTGAATGGATAGATGTGCGGCAGTGACAGAGGACCAGCAGCAGCAGAGAACCTACAGCAGCAGAGAAGCAGCAGCAGCAGAGAACCAACAGCAGCAAAACCAGGAGACCGGCTCCGCTGGAGCCGACCCATGGAGCGAGAGAGCTGAATGCCTGTGAGCAGGAGGCTTCCTGGCAGAGTAGGGTGCCTCTGGGCACTTATTGGTGGAGCTAGGCTTGCCAACCCACAGAGTGAGAGAGCTGAGTGTCTGTGTGCACGAGGCTTTCTGGCGGAGTGGGGTATCTCCGGGGACTTACACCGGTGGAGCTACAGAGCTTTGGAACACTTGCCCCAGCCGGGCAGATGCGGCCATGAGCCCCAAGGGCCAAGAGGCCACAGGAAACAGAAGCAGAAGCTGAAGAGACAAGGGACACAAGAAGCCGAGCTGCTTCAGCCCCAAAAGGTGTGGAAAAATAGCTTCTACAAAGGCAATTTTGGATAAGACAACGAACAAATGCAAAGGTTACGGTTTTGTCGACTTCGACAGCCCTGCAGCAGCTCAGAAAGCTGTGTTTGCCCTGAAGGCTAGTGGGGTTCAAGCGCAGATGGCAAAGCAACAGGAACAAGATCCTACCAACCTGTATGTTTCTAATTTGCCACTGTCCATGGATGAGCAAGAACTTGAAAATATGCTCAAACCCTTTGGACAAGTTATTTCTACAAGGATACTTCGTGATTCCAGTGGTACAAGTTGTGGTGTTGGCTTTGCTAGGATAGATTCAACAGAAAAATGCGAAGCTGTTATTGGTCATTTTAATGGAAAATTCATTAAAACATCACCAGGAGTTTCTGCTCCTGCAGAACCTTTATTGTGTAAGTTCGCAGATGGAGGACAGAAGAGGCAGAATCCCAACAAATACATCCCTAATGGAAGACCATGGCATAGAGAAGGAGAGGCTGGAATGACACTTACTTATGACCCAACTACAGCTGCTATACAGAACGGATTTTATCCTTCACCATACAGTATTGCTACAAACCGAATGATCACTCAAACTTCTATTACACCCTATATTGCATCTCTTGTATCTGCTTACCAGGTGCAAAGTCCTTCTTGGATGCAACCTCAACCATATATTCTGCAGCACCCTAGTGCTGTGTTAACTCCCTTAATGGAGCACACCATGTCACTACAGCCTGCATCTGTGATCAGTCCTCTGGCCCAGCTGATGGCTCATCTGTCACTAGGCAGCACCTGAACATACATGCCTGCAACATCAGCTATGCAAGGAGCCTATTTGCCACAGTATGCACACATGCAGACAATGGCAGTTCCTGTTGAGGAGGCAAGTGGTCAGCAGCAGGTGGCTGCAGAGATGTCTAATGACCATTCTCCGTATACCTTTCAACCTAATAAGTAACTGTGAGATGTACAGAAGGACGTTCTTACATGAAGAAGGGTGTGAAGGCTGAACAGTCATGGATTTTTCTGATCAATTGTGCTTTAGGAAATTATTGACAGTTTTGCACAGGTTCTTGAAAATGTTATTTATGATGAAATCAACTAAAACTATTTTTGCTATAAGTTCTATAAGGTGCATAAAACCCTTACATTCATCTAGTAGCTGTTCCCCTGAACAGGTTTATTTTAGTAAAAAACAAACAAACAAACAAAAAAGGTTTTTATCAAATGTTATGATGCAAAAAAAAAAAAATGAAAAAAAGACAAGAAAAAGAAAACTTCAATTTTCTGGGTATGCACAAAGACCACGAAGACTTATCCAAGTGCATGACGGATTTTTGTGGTTTTGTTCATGTTATGTTTTAATGTGTGTTTTTTAATGCTATATGAAATGGGCTTTCTGAAGTTTAAATAGTCCGACTTCACCAGTGGTGTTCTGTGCTTGCAGTGCGAGTGTTGCTGTGATTCGGTGTTGCCGTCAGTGTCTCTTTTTCTTGGCTTTCCGTTTTTTCTTTCAACGTAGTGTGAAGTGTCTTATCCTTTTCTGTGAATTCCAATTTGCCTTAAATCTTTTGATGCTGTAGCTGTTTCAGTAAAGTTAGTTCAAACTAATGATGTAGAATGCTTTGACCAAATGAGCTGGTCTGTTATGCCTTGTAAAACAGCAGCATAGGGCTTTTAACAGGTAGTCAAAAGTTGCTGAAATTTTGACTTTAAAAAAAAAAAAAAAAAGTGAGGTTGGTGGGCCACTGTTATTTGGGGGAAACTGCTAATAGTGTAATTCTTGGAAAAATGGGGATTAAAATATCTGTCACTGATTCAAAGTGTTATTAAAAAGATCATATCACGTAAAGTTTGAAAGCATTTGAAAAGATTAAAGTTCTATACTAATGTACCATCACTTGTCTGTCAGTTTGTTGCACTGTGGTGGCTTGCATGTTGCTATGATGCTGGAAATTAAGCTACCAGTATTTCAAATACCAGCAGGGTCACCCATGGTAGACAGGTTTCAGTGGAACTTCCAGACTAAGACAGACTAAAAAGAAAGATCTGGCAATTTACTTCTGAAAATTAGCCAATCCCTTTGTTTTGTTATATAGTTGAAGATTATTTTGGAAGACAGAACCACAGAAACAAAAGTAGGCTCTTCAAATTAGGTGTTGAATGTAATCATCAATTACATATGGTATTTTATAGAATTTATGATTATTTTATTAAATTATTTTGTGTGATGATATTAGGACCACAACTATAGGATAGTTTAATGTTAATTTACTATTTTTCTAAGACAATAAGATAGAATTTTAAAATTATATTTTTCAGATACTGACCGAGCTTTTTCATTACTGGAAGAATACTGCAAAAAATTAAGGAAACCAGAGGAACAGCAGTTGAAAAACGCTGTTAAAAAGGTGATGGGTATCTTTAAGAGCAGTTTATTCCAAGCTTTGCTAGGTATGTATTACAAAAATTATTCGTCACCTAAATGGTTAGAATTAGACTTAATCATTTGAGTAATGTGGTCAGAGAACCTAATGTTAACCAAATTTCAAACCAGAGTAATTTTCTTTGATACTGGAAGGAAAGAGTTTTTTTTTTTTTTTCCTTTTCCTTTTTCTTATTTAAAGTTTACTTTAAAAAAAACTCTTCTAAAATGGAAATAAAGGAGAGGTTATTGAAAAACATAAGTATTGAAAAAATGTTTTGTATGGAAGAAAAGTTTATTCAAAAAAAAGTTAGTAGTTTGTTGCAAAAAAGTAAGTACTAATATGCTAAAGAAGGAAGTTATTGCCTAACACAAAAATGATGGGTTGCATTCTACGGAGAATCAAAGTTCTACTTTTACTCTCTTCTTAAAAACAAAAACAAAACCAAACACTGTTTCATCTATGCTTCTTTTAGGAAGTTATGACCTAGGATTTAAAAGTTTATAGAAAATCTCAAAGCTTTGGAATTATTGCCAATTTTTCATGAATCTAACCACATAATGTTTAACCTTATGTGTATTCTCTGACTTAATAATTGTGAAGAAAACCAAGGATATTGTTTTTTTGTGTATGTATTATATACATACATCTTTTCACTTAAGCAAACATAACTGTTAATTCATTTCTTATAATATTTCGAGAGTTAAAATAAACTAGCATAGGCAAGTATATACAGACCTAAGTTTATTAGGGTTAGCAGGGGTGGGAGAAGGAGGTGGAAGGGGGACTCATTGCTTAGAGGACCCTGAGCTTCTTCTGTTGATGGTTATGAAATAATTTGGAAATAGATAATAGTGATGGTTGTACAACATGATGAACACAGTGTCACTGAATTGTACGTGTGAACATGTTGAAATGGCAAATGTTTTGTTATATATATATGTATATATACTACCACAACAAAATAAACTGGCGAAAGACATAAATGAATAAACACCCCCCCTTACAAAAACAGCCAGCTAACTAAACAATTTTAAAAAATCACTCAATTGGATTTGGAGAAATTGGAACCCTTGTGCATTGCTGGTGGGAAGGTAAAATGGTGCACCACTCTGGAACACAGTTCGGTGGTTCCTCAAAAAGTTAAACATAGAGGGGTGGGGCCAAGATGGCAGAGTAGTCAGATGCTTCTTGTGGTCCTTCTTACAACGAAGACTGGAGAAAACAAGTGAATCGATTATATATGACAGTCTAGGAGACCTGAACATCAAACACAAAGTCGAGAATTGGACTGAGTGGCAGGGGGAGGGAGAGACGGTTCAGAAGCAGCGAGGAGTTGCCAGACCTGACCTGGCCGGCCTCGGCACCCTGCAGGCGAGATTGGCTAGCGCATGAGGGGTGAGGCAAGCAGTGGTGTTCGGAATGTGTTTTCCTCATCGGGAGAGACCAAGTGTGAGATAGTCTGCTCAAGCTTCCAGAACCAATGAGAGATGGTGCTCAATTGGTGAAAGATAAGTAATAGCATCTAACCTACCGTGTGGATCAAACCCCCTCTTGGTAAGAAAGTCTCTCCCATTTTCCTGCCTCCTCCCCCCTGCTGCTTTGGTCCAGGTTCAGCTTCAGGGACTGCTGAGTCCCTGGGGGTCGGAAGTAGGACCCATCATGTGCCTTGAGCCATTCTCCCAGCTTTGGAGGAGGAACAAATTAACACAGGAGAAAATAATCTGCAGGCTCCCTTAAGCCAGGAACTCAGGGCATGCACAGCCCGTTTGCCTAGGCACAGGCATAAGGGGTCCATGGACTTTGAATGCCTTTCACCCTGCATAGACCTGTGTGGGGGCATTTCAACAGCATAGGCCCTCATTACCACAGTACAACAGGGTATATACCTGAAGCCTGTTTTCATCTGTATCAGCTATAAAGGGGAGTGGCAGATTTGTATCATTTGACACCATCCTGCCCATTAAGCAGGGTCCTCACCTACCCACATCAGGGGCTTGAGGACTGATGGCTTCACCCAGTCCACCTAGCCACCCATGATGCGAGTCCAAGAATAAGTGGTGACTCCCAGTCTTACAGCCAACAGCATTGGGTGCCCATAGCCTGGCTGCAAAACCCACCTACCTATGTGCTGTAGGGAAGAGGGACATGCCTTCCATTCAGACACTCAGGGGCAGCAGTCAGCCCCCTGCCTTGATCAGTGCATGACCCCCTACTGCAGCCAGATACCTGTGCCTACTCCAGTTACCCCTCACGGTCTAGGACTGTAGGCAAGAGCCTGCATCACACACTCAGTGACCTATGACTTGGACACCTGAGCTGAATCCACACAAGAAAAGTAAACGGATTCCTGGGCTCACATACCTAGTAACAATTCTAGTACCTGGAGAAAAGACGTGAGAGCTTCAAAGACGCCAATAATCAAACTAGCTCAAATGACCAGCCTATTTGGGCATATCAAAACAAAACAAAACAAGAAGCTAGGACACAGTAAGCAAACATAAATAAATATAATAACTTATTGATGGCACAGAGAAAATGGTCAGTATCAAATCACAGAAAGAGGCAGACCATGACGGCTTCAGGAAGCTACCAAAACAAAGAATCAAGAAACCTTCTGGAGGAAGAGAACTTCTTGGAATTACTGGAGGTAGAATTCAAAAGATTAATATACAGAAGTCTTCAAGGGATCAGGAAGGAGATGAGGGAAAATGCAGAACAAGCCAAGTAAAACACAGACAAAGCAATAGAGAAACTTAAAAAGGTTGTACAAGAGCATAATGACAAATTTAACAGGCTGGAAGAATCCATAGAGAGACAGCAAACTGAAATCCAAAAGATTAACAATAAAATTTAAGAATTAAATAACTCAATAGAAAGTCATAGGAGCAGAACTGAGGCAACGGAAGTCAAAATTAATGAGATTGAAGAAAAAGTACTTGACACCAACTTTTTTGAGGAAAAATCAGATAAAAGAATTAAAAAAAAATGAAGAAACCCTAAGAATTATGGGGACCGTATCAAGAGGAATAACCTCTGAGTGATTGGAGTACCAGAACAAGGTGAGATAACAAAAAAATACAGAGAGAATTGTTGAAGATTTGTTGGCAGAAAACTTCCCTGAAGTCCTGAAAGACGAGACGATCTCTATCCTAGATATTTGTCAAAGTGCACATAAGGTAGATCCCAAAAGAAAGTCATCAAGATATAATCAAACTTGCCAAAACCAAAGATAAAGAGAGAATTTTAAGTGTGACTAGAGATAAATGAAAAGGTTATCTACAAAGGAGAGTCAATAATACTAAGCTCTAACTACTCAGCATAAACTATGCAGGCAAGAAGGCAATGGGATGACATATAAAAAGTCCTGAAGGAAAAAAATTGCCAAGAATTATATATCCAGCAAAAGTATCTCTCAAATATAATGGTGAAATTAGGACATTTCCAGATAAACAGAAGTGTAGGGAATTTGTAAAAACCAAACCAAAATTACAAGAAATACTAAAGGGAGTCCTCTGGTTAGAAAATCAATAACATCAGATAATAACCCAAGACTAGAACACAGGACAGAACAACCAGATATCAACCCAGATAAGGAAGTCACAAAAATAAATCAAAGCAAAAACACTGAAAATGGGGAAACAGAGACATCAATATGTAAAAGATGACAACATTAAAGCAAAAAAGAGGGGCTAAAAATTATACTCATAGATCCTTCATATGGAGAGGAATTCAAGGCAATATAAAGAAATAAAAGACTGGTTTAAACTTAGAAAAATGGGAGTAAATATTAAGGTAACCACAAAGCAAACTAAGAATCCTACACATCAAAATAAAAAACAAGAAAAACATAAAGACTCAGCAAATACAAAATCAACAACAATGAAAAAGATGAAAAGAAAATACATAAAGAAAAATGACTCAGCACAGAAAATTAAGTGGAACAAAGAAACTGTCAACAACACA